TCTGACCACCAGAATTTGAAGACTCGCCTTGACAATATATACCAGCCATTGGAAATTGAATAGAACTTGGTAACTCCTTAGCAGTTCTTTCAGCACTCAACAACTGGACTCGAAACTCTTTGAGAGTTATTGGAGTTTCTCTAGCAACATTAACAGTACGAATGATATTATATTCAGAGGGTAAATCAGCCAAAGCATCAACTATCAAGTCATTGTCAGAAAGCATTTCCCCTGCAGCAAGTAGTTGATCTTTCAGATTCTTGAATCGAAGCAAATATTTTTCAATAGAATAGACCCTTTCTTGATTGTATGTAATTCAGTCTTGAGATGATTAATTCATACCCTAGAGACCGTGGCATATCTATCAGTAAGATTAGTCCAGGTTTCAAATGTAGTCTTACTACCAACAACATATTCCATAGCCTTATCACCAAGTGTGGCAATGAGTAAACTCAACAGAGCTTTATCAGTTTTAATCCATTCCTTAAAAGCTTGTGTGAGTTCTTTTAGTAACCCCACCATCCAAAGAAATCAAATACTTAGGAGGACAAACATTTGCACCATCAAAATAGTCGAACAAGTCATACCCTTCAAGCACATAATGAAATTGAAAAGACCATTTTGCAAAGTTGTCTTCTTGCAGGCGAATAGTAAACATGCCTAACAAACCATCAATCATAAACGAAGAAGCCATCATGAATCACAGAATCAACACACATCAATTCAACAATAAACCTTCAAGATTTGCAAAATAACCAAGCTTCGTGCCCCAATTTTTTCAATAATCTGGCTTCATGCCTTAACTTTTTTTCCTTTCAGTTATCTCAAATTTGCAACAATTTTCAATAATATGGCTTCGTGCCCTAAAGCTCCTTGCTTATACAATCAACAATTTTCAACATACAATCAAGATAACAACAATTTTTATGATCAAATATCAACAGATTTCACCATAAAAGACAATCAGGTTTGTAATCAACAAAGTATGAATTATAGAGGAAAAGAACAGATGCCATCAAATCTTCAAAGAGATCAGCGTGAAAGATGAAATTGGAGTACACCGACATGCATCGACGAACAAGAATCTCCACTGCCTCAAAAAAAAATTCTTACTCCACGCACAAGACCTTCCACCACTTTGAATTCCAGCACTAATTCTCATGATCAAATCGAGAACCGAGATCTGGATACCATCATAACAGAGTTGCAGAAGCAGAAAATCAAGAAGTGCATAGAGAGAGAGAGAGAGAGAGAGAGAGAGAGAGAGAGAGAAAGAAGAGAGTGCAGAGAATATTCTTTTGTATTGCAGTAAATGAATGATTGGAAAGATTGGTTACAATATGATGTAATTCCCTATTTATAGTAAGCACATTAGCTTATTGACTAAGCTAACACCTCTAACAACCAACCTCACAAGATTATGACATTTGTCAATACAAGATCATGCCATTTGTCTAACATTACACATCTAATACTCAATATCTTTTTCTATGTTGTTTCAGAAATGGTTATGAAATTTACCTGCCAATAGCTAGGTTGCATGGAGTCCTTTTGCTCTTTAAGTTATCATCTAAGCAGTTTAAGTCATATATAATTGGATTAGAACTGATCTTGGTTTCAATAATTTTTCAAAGGATTACAGTGTTACAAAAATGAATCAAAACTAGATCTGTATAGCTTCATGTACTATAGCACTCTAACGTCATTGAATATTAGCAACGACACACAAAGCGTGTCATAAACAATTCAATACATGTCCTGAAATATGTATGATGACATATATAAAAAGACTTAACATAATTCATCCAAGAAGCAAGATATTAAATTAAACAGTATTGCTTCATAAATTTGTAATTCATCCAGTACCGAAGTATTACAAAAGACAATATAATGTGTAGAGTTTCCTACTAAAATAAAATTATAAGTTCACTTAATTTAAAATTTCACAAACTAGCTAATCTAGTGTTTCATCTATTGGGATGAAGTCATCAACATACTCAGCCCACTCTATTCTTAATGCATCAATTTCCTGTTGAGTGTATGTAGCTTTTTCTTTGAACTGCAACAAATCACAACTAAAGAGAACATGTTACAACAAAAACTAATTTCAATCATTAACTAATAAGGAAGTGGTCAATTAGCATCAACTAGCCCAGAAAGAACAAGGGCTCTCTACTCGTATTTTCTCTAATGTGTTTTTTTTTCACTCGGTATAGAGCTAATAAAATGTCAAGTGAATACACCCGCTTAAGTGCTCTTTGTAACAGTAGTACTAACCTTGGTAATAATTGAGCAGTTCGGATCATCAATGATTTCCTTCATGTATTTCATCACATAATATCCACATTCTACAGTTCCTTCTTGCAAAGGGCACTGCATATAAAAATAAAAAAGTATAAAATGTAAGTTAGTCAGATTAATTTAAAGCAGTCTTCACAACACACACACGCACATTAGAAATGCAAAAATACTCCTAAAATTTCTAGTAAATCTGCAAATAGTTTATCACTACACCCATTCTTTGCTTTTATATTGTATAATATGACCAAGGTTGATAACTTTGTGAAGTTTGAACCAGGGTATACAGGTTTCTCTGCATCCTTTAACAACTTCTCAAATTGTTTAGGATTTGAAGCAAAATGATCATAAGCTGCTTCCACCATTTGGAATAGCTTTTCCAATTACTCCTTTGCTCATTCTTACTATTTGGAATAGCTTTTCCATGCCTATACCATATACAATAACTTTGATCCATACCATTGAAAAAGAGATCCTCTCTTATCTCTTTAACCGTCCTTGATTTGATGTTACCACATTTTAGGCACGGACAATGTATGTAGTTAATATCAGTAGCGTGAAGCATCGCATAATTCAAAAAGTTTTCAACCCCTTCATAATACATTTGTGATCTTCTATCCATAGACATCCAAGATTTATCCATTTTAAAATAGTTATATTGATTGATATTAGAATAAAACATATAATGAGATTGCATGAGGGCACAATATATAAACTATTGCAAGCTAAAGATAAAAAACAGAAGCAGAGCTTATGAGGAGTTTTATCAAACACGTGGTGTGCTATAAACAGAAGCGGAGCTTATGAGGAGTTTTATCGAACCCTCGGATCCCCATTTTTCAGGTGGATTAATTAGAGCATGTGCATGCGCAGTATACTACAATTGCTTAAGTGGATTAATTAGAGCATTGGACAAGCTCAACCAATCTCCACCAATCATATTAATTACTTGTATATATATGCATGGGGGCGGGGGTCTCTTTATTCTATATAAACAGCGTTACACACACACACACACACACACACACACACACACACACACACACACATGCGCGCACATATATGTGTATATAAAATACATATGCCTAGCTTCAATCTAAATAAAAATAAAAAATAAAAACAATGATCATGGCTCAACTACAATTTGTTCAGAAACTACTTTAGCAAATGACAAGGCTAAACTAAAATCTATCTAGCCACATAGCTCAGACTAATCAATACAACTTCACAAAACAAATTAATATAGAAATTATTTTCTAGAAAACCCATAACCATTCCAACAAATTTACCTTACACAATTAGGTTTTGAGTGAAATTTGGGGAAAACAATCAATCTGGTTGATGAAAATTGTGGATGTCCCAAAGAGACAGAGAGACAGAGAGAGCGAGAGAGACATAGAGGGAGAGAAAGAATGACAATGAGTCTTCCTAAATCCAAGCGACCTGTTGTTCTTCTAGAAAAATCCAGAAACCCTACATTCCCAAATTGAAATTAAAAACTAGAACAAAACCGAAATCACACCAGAAACAAAGGCGAGAAACGGAGAAATCAAAAGCGGAGCAGAGAAATTACTAGAAGTGGAGGACGCGACGGGAGGAGGGCGAGGAGGAGAGGAGGGAATCGGGGTTGGAACTGCGGAGCGAGAGAGAAAGAGAGGGAGAGATAGAAAGAGAGGAGAATGAGAGCTTTAATCTTTCATTCTCTATCTGGGGGTTGGCTGGGGTTGGGGGGGGGGTGTGGTTGGGTAGTGGAGTGAATGAGTCGTGAGGATTTAGGAAGTTGTGAGAAAGTTACAGGATCTTCACTCTTCTTTTTTTTAAATCCTTCCCGTTGATTTTTTTTAAGTTGCGTCATCCATTTATTTTAATAACGTTTTTAATAAATAAATGTCATTAAAATTTTTAATAAGTGTCATGAAAGCTCTATTTTGTAGTAAAAGTTGGACACCGTTGAAATATCTATGAACTCTTGAACTATGACATTGAAATGCCATTTTTTTTTCTTTTCTTACGGAATTTTGGATCGTTTGGACACATATTATTAATTTTATTAAACATGTTCTTCCTGCCACTATAGACTAAACATCAAATCAAATCTTTGTCTACAACTGCAGAGTCGCACAAACCAGCAACACCCGAAGATTTGGCTTCTGCATCGTCTGCTCTGTAAAAGATGACTTGATGAACAAGAAATGTAGGGATCTGACGGTACTAGTAGGTTATAGATAGCAATTTGAAGTATGAATGAATGCTTGTAACACTTTAATCTTCGTAACTGTAAAAATGAAGAAAAATGTTTTATGATAAAATGGAAAGAAAAATTATGAATAGATGTGATTGAGAGATGTCAGTGTGATTGGACACGGAGTGGTACACAACGTGTCAATATACAAATGATGGAATATGTGTGCTAAAAAGTTAATAATTTAAAAAATATAATTTTTCACCATTTATATAAAAACATACGGTGTACCATCCATGTTCATGTCACAATGAAAATTTTCTTGATGAGATTAAACTGCAATTCCTCGTCCTGATTACTTGCCAAAAAAAGAAGAGAAAAAATACTAAATTTTCTCCTTTGACCATATAACAAACATCCGTTTTAACCTACTTTGAAACGTTCCCTATTCAATTTCTACCTCAAGCCTCAAATAACTCTCAATCTCTCTCTCTCTCTCTCTCTCTCTCTCTCTCTAACAATGTCGAACGATCCCTCCACCTCATCCACCGCAGAAGATCATCAAGACACCATCAGTTCCACCACCACCACCACCACCACCCCAACAATTACCACTTCTGCCTCATCAGACCACTCATCATCCCTCTCCAAAGCCCAATCAACAATCCAGTCCCTCTCAACCATCCTCCCCTCTCTCCCTCCTTCCCTCGCCTCCTCCTCCAACCCTTCCCGCTCCCTCCTCCATGACCACCACACCGCCTCCCACATCTCCTCCCTTCTCTGCCTACCCGACTCCGGTGCAGGCGACAACAACCTCTGCCGTTGGCTCTACGACACCTTCCAATCCTCCGATAACGACCTCCAACTTGTGGTCCTTCGCTTCCTTCCCATCATCGCCGGTGTCTACCTCTCCCGCGTGTCTCTTCGTATACCCATAGCCGGCTTTGAGGCTGTTCTGTTAGCCCTCTACGCCCACGAAACCACCACACGTGCCAGCCAGGCCATTACCGTCAACGTGCCTGACTTGTCACACCCCAGCCTTTACCACGAAACAAAGGCACCCATTAAGAACAATTCGACAGGCCTAAACTTGGCCGTTATATCCCCCAGCTTGGAACCCTATGGCACAGTGAGGTCCACAAGGAGGGCGAGGATTGTTGGGGTTGCGCTGGAGTTGTACTACAGCAAGATAGGTGAAATGCCGGTGCAGTCTAAAATCGAGTTTTGTGAGTTTTGTAGGGTTTGGGCTGGCGAAGACGGCGAAATGTACAAGGAGATGACTGGTAGTAGTAGTAGTAGCAGCAGCACTAATAAACGTAAAGAAGAGGGTGGAAAGTGTGAAGTACAGGAGGATGGAAATGATGAGAATAAGGAAGGTGGTTCGGGAAAGGCTGTGGTGGGCGTGGGCATGGGGAGAATTCCACTGCCGTGGGAATTACTGCAGCCGGTTTTGCGAATTTTGGGACACTGCCTTTTGTGTCCAAACCAAAACAAGGAGGTGATTGATAAGGCGAGCAAGGCTTGTACCAGTTTGTATGCGAGGTCTATGCATGATATCAATCCCAAGGCTATTTTGGCCACTAGGAGTCTGCTTAGGCTGACCAACACGGCGGCCAAAGATGATAATTTTGATCCAACTGAAATTCCTAAATCTCGAGTTATCAGTATCTAGGTTGATCTGCTGCTGCTCTTCACATCTTTATCATCACTAACTGTGAAACGTTTTTAATTTAGGACAATATATATCCAATGAATAATCCGAAACTCATATATATGTTCGTTTCGTTTCTTTCAGTGATTTGAATATATATATGTTGTTATCATATCCAATTAATTCAGGGTTTCAGATTATAGTTAGTAAATTGTTCTAGGTTTTGAGGATTACTGGATGAGAGTAGTTATTATATATGTTGTTATCGTATCAGAACCAGTGTGTGCTGAATCACTAAGGTTGGAGAACCCTGTGTATATCCTTAACCTTTTGATCCCATTGCAATTTCCGTATTGCGTTCGAATTTGCATGAGTAGTCCTTCCATTTCTTCTATCTGTTGCTACAATCTCAATTATTCAACATCATCGTCGGAGTCGATAGTGATGCTCATATTTTCACCATTTTCCCCCATATGTGATTCAAATGATTATGATCATTTTTCTGACCATTTTCCCCCATTTGTTGCCAACGTGACGGAATTGGTTTCATCTTTTTTCTGATCATCTTGTAGGATAATATAAATGATTATGATCATAATACACATGTAAATTCAATCAATTAGATAATACACAAATGCATCAAACACATATATCAATAAATAAAGCAGTAAAAAGGAAAAGATAATGAATGATATGGCCTGTGATATCAAGAGAGGCATGTTGTCATAGTCCTAAAGCCATAGACGTCTCCCTACGTGCCGGTTATAATGGTTATCTAAAACTCCAAGATACAACCCTTGAATCTCACATAGTGTCTAATCCATAAGCACGATTACGGTAGACAGGGTGCCAAGTAGTGATCAGCTGCCCATTGATGATCAAGATGAGTAGGAAGATAATAAGGATTATATATGAGTACTGTAGTAGGGAGAGAAGGAAGTCATTTGAATGTTTTATTAACATTTGAGGAGCTCCCCATTTATAAAACTATATATAACATTTGGTGAAAGACACGACTTCTCTAATATTATTTAAAATAATAAAATAAAGTTTTGAATCTTTAAGAAAATAAAATAAATAACCAACAATCCCCCACAAGATTCAAAAGTCCACAGAAGTGTAGAAGACATGTATGTATGTATGTTTGTATGTATGTATGTATGTGTGTGTGTGTGTGTGTGTGTGTGTGTGTGTGTGTGTGTGTGTGTGTGTGTGTGTGTGTGTGTGTGTGTGTGTGTGTGTGTGTGAATGGAAGAAATTTGGGCAACTTGTGTACCACGCAATGGATGTAGGTGTCTTTTGGTTTGGAAGAAATTTGGGCAACTTGTGTACCACGCAATGGATGTAGGTGTCTTTTGGACTTGAACCTACACTTAGTGTTAACAAATTTCATTTGAAGGAATCATAGTGAACTAGGTCTTGAACTAGATCCCTTTTGAACAGGGTACTAAATGTAATACACATGGTATCGATTAAAAAAATTGGCCCTGGTTAGCGTTATTTATGGCCAAGCGCTTAATCTTGATTCTCATGAGATTTATTAGAGAATAGCCCAATGCTCATAGTCACGGCCTCTCAACTACTCTCACTTAGGTGAGTTCTCCAAGAGTACATGCGACATGTACCCTGCGGGAGATTGCCCGCCTTGAAACTCATTCAGGGTTAATAACCTTCCTAACGTCACATAAAATAGCACTAATGCCATAGGGATGAGCAAAAGAATATCTCATGGATATCGTCAATATAATATGAGTGCTATTATGAATCACACAGTATGGATTGTTTCTACCACATTGAACTTCCTTCATGGGATCTCCAATCATAGAAGTTGGGTTTCTTCCCTAGGTGACTCCCTTCCGGGCTTAAGCACATCCCCCTCGACAATTTTGCATTTAGCCTCCCTTGGGCATGCAAATAAATGACTAACAAGTCATTTTATTAATTATGATTGCCTTCATAAGGCATATAAGTTTTCTAGTCATATATTTGCTCAGTAGTGCTCTTAAACCTGCATGTTATAACTAATTGCAAGCTAAAAAACATTTTAGTCATAATTTCACATATAAGTTGTTTAAGGTGCATAATCATTCATAGCTTTACTAGAATAAACTTGGGTACGGGCAATGAAACATACCCCCACATTATGGTGCATATCAGAAAATTCATTTCATGAGAATCTCAAATCAATTTCATTATATATGATATCCAAAATAAAGAGTAATTATACGCACATTGAAGAAAATTCAATATTATTTATTTGTTCTCGTGAGCAATGACATAAAAGAATTAGGAAATATTGTTAAATAACCAAGAGAGCATCAAACAGTAATCTATATTTCCATAGTGATAGGAGCATATTTAGGCAACTTACTTAGCTTGTTTTCGTGCATCTATGTTGTTAATTCATAGTTGTTTTAGTAGTTTAAGCCATTTTTGTGTGTTTTTAGGTTCATATGGCTAAGGAAGCAAAAAGATGCATTTTGGAGCATTTTGGAGCAAAATTGGGCTTGGAATGGATAGCATATGATTGGAGCCAAAGTGTTGGACGAATTTGAAGGCCTTGTATTCATTTTGGACATAAAACAAAGGGCCTAGCCCATTCTCTCTTAAACCAACCCCAAGGCCATGCATTTCCTTCTAATACCAAAGCCCACAATCACTTCAAAAGCCATGCAAAGAACCATCCATTCCATCAAAAAGAATCCATCAATTCACATGCAAAACCACCATTAACACACATGCACCCAAACAAAGCCAACCTAGCTAACCCTACATGCATTCTTTATGCAACTCTTCATCATTCCACCATTCATTCTTTATTCCACAAACAAGTCACATGCATTTCCACCTTCCTACTTCATCATTTCACCACATTCTCCCTCTTTAACTCATTTCATTATTCATTCACTTTGCATTCATTCAATTCCACCCCACATGCACCCTTTATTCTTCATCATTGCAACCATGGCACATTTACACCAACAAAACAACTCCCATGCCATGGCCTACTCATATTCCCATTTCCTTTCCAACATCTCACATGCATTTCCACCTTCCTACTTCATCATTTCACCACAGTTTCCCTTTTATTTCCACATGCAATTCTTCATCATTGCAACCACAAACACCTTAAACAAATAGCCATATACATCTCCACTCCTCCTATAAATACCCTTGCATTCATTCATTCAAAAATCATCTCATTCACAACACAACACAACATCACAAACACATCCACCTTCCTTAGCCGTGAGTCTCCCTTAGAATCCAAAAACCATCTTCCATTTCCACCACTCCTCATCCATTTCCATAATTTCCCAACACTTCCATCCCCCCAACCAACTATCCCTAGACCTTATGCTACAATAAAGAGGAAGATAAGAGGGCCTAAACGTTCATACAATTCAAGATTGAGTTGTTGGAATGTTTAGGCGTTTCTTTGATTTCAATGTTTAATTTCAATTCTCTTTGTTTTGTACGTATGAGGAAATAAACCCCCTTTAGCTAGGGGGTGATTCGAAACTATGTTTATGTTTGTAATATGATTTGATTACTTTTAATTACGTTTCATAAGTTGTGAATTCAATTTGTTTAACTGTTTAATTGATAACCTATTTATGTATGTTTATTAAGAATGAACGCTTAATTTTCATGCATGAATTTGACGCTAGAATATAAGTGAGTTTCACGTAATAGTTATGAACTTATATTCACAAGTAGTGGAGGTTGCTTATAAACAATCGTGTTAAACATATTCTTGGCATAAGTTTCATGCAATCATAGTAACGAATGCCTCGTCAACACTTATAGTTTTCATGATGCTTAATGATTCTTGCTTGTATCTCTATTATGCAATTCATGTAGGGAACTTGTGAGGAATGCTTTGGATTGTCGTATGCAATCATCCAATTCATTAACTTAAGGAAAACTTGACGGTTAATTTAAGCGGACCTAATTAACCCGGGGCGTTGAGAATTCATGGTTTATTGAAAAGCAATTAGACATCGTTTTGTATGCAAGTATAACATATGTGGAGATGAACCCCTTAGCTAGCTTCCCATCCATTCATTTCCGTCAAATCCATATTTACAATTTGTTTTATTTCCAAGTTTCCATTTTTAGTTTAAAGTCGTCCAAATCCAATCCCCCTTTACTTTATTGTTCAATTTAGTTAGAAATCAATTTAGTTTGTGTTTTTAAAGCATTTTGAGTCTTTTGGTTTGTCTTAGTGTTTTAACGTTTAGTTTCACATTCTTTGAGTCTAGTTTAGTGTTTTATCTTGTTTTTACGTTTTTGAGTTAGTTTCCAAGGTTTTAGCAATCCCTCCTAATCCCCGGTCCAGAACGATCCCTACTTATACTTATACTACAATTGACAAAAAGAGGGTTTAATTTGTGTGCGTATAAATCTCGCATCAAATTTTGGCGCCGTTGCCGGGGATTAGCAACTTTGCTAATCCCTTGGATTGTTTTATTTTCGTTTGTTTTTATTTTTCCAGATTCTTAAATTTGTTTTGTTTCTTGTTTTAGGTACTAGTTCATGACTCGGAGTTCTCATCCGATTCGTGAACATATCCTGGAGTGATTGGGTTCTTCGTCCGGCTGCAAGACGTAAAAGAAAGCGCTACTTGGGAGGCAACCCAATACAGTAAATAAAACTTTTGCTTGTTCATTGATTTTTTCGATAAATTACAATTGTATCTAAACATGGCAGAAAGATGGAACCTTTACAAAGGTTGTGTACGTGAGGCCCCACTACGTGGCAACACTCTCGGAGCAAGAGGCATCGAAGCAGGAGGCATCGGAACAGGAGGTCTCGGAGCAGAAGACATTGGAGCAAGAGGCATCGGAGCGGAAGGCATAGGAGCGGGAGGCACCGAAGATAGATCATTCAAGGCCCCAAACCTTGGTGGAACGCTGGATGACCCAGGAAAGAGGTGCCTCTGGAAGAAAGCTGCAAGCCTTTGACGGTCATCAAGCTCGTCAAGTTTCCTCTTCATGCCTGACGAATAATTGTTGGCA